ATCCAAAGAGCTTCTTTATTTTCAAGTCAAATATTTGAAAAATGTGGGCGCCCCGGTCTGATGGAGAGAATGAAAAACGTATTTAAGTGTAGCTTTATTGTTTGTCAAATTTCTGCCACACTTTTGTTGAAATATATACCACTTTTGCGCATGATTTTCTTTTGATGTTCTTTGTATTATTTTTTACAAGCTCTTGGTCAGTTGTTGACAAGTTGCTGGTGCACACAAATCTGATCGGCGGCCAGTTTTTAGGCTGGTGCATGCATTTCAAAATCGAATATAATAGTCAAATATTTCTTTAATACAAGTTGGAATTTTTTTTTAGCATCCTGGTTCAGACTTCAAGTTCCTTTGTTCCTGGAATTGGTGTTTGTAATCGAATGAACACATGCGTGATCCGTTAGAGAAAGTACATGTAGATTTCACTTTGACAAATGTTTGAGCCCCTGCAGTCAAATTCTACACACGTTCCATTGAAACTTCCGGACAGCTGGATCCAGGCATTACGAAACATGGACTTGCGTTAAAAAAAAACAAATACATGTACATGTATACAAGAACATGTACATGTACATAGCATTACGTGTGAAGGAGCACGGATGTGCAATAGTAGTCCACAGAAAGTTGGATACATGTGATAAATCATGATTCATATTTACATGTAAGTAGTTTTCTTTGTGTGAACAGGCACATGTGTACATGTACATGTACTTTTCATGCAGTAATCACAGTAAGAGTTTATATACATGTAGATGACCTGGAAGTTTAAGTGCAAATGGTTGACTGGAGATGAATGCACTATTTTTTTCCTAGGTACTAACACCTTCGCTAGCTTTGTCAGCTTTTTTCTGTAGTTTTTATTCGCTCTGACATTTGATCTCTGAGAGAAACCAACTTTTCAAAAGCTTTTTTTTTTGGGGGGGGGTCACTTGAGTATCTTGCACTGCACGCTTATTAACAACAACAAAATCAGTGTTGCAAAGTAAATTTAGTTGTTAATCCCTGAAGAACACAGTTGATTGACACAGTTCAATTTTGCATGTTTTCATGTCATTTTAAATTACATAAAAAAGTATGATCTACAAAAAAAATTGCAAACTAGATTTCGGGAAGGAAAATATAGGCCTACAATGTATGTATTTGATTTTCATTTGTAAAGACAAAAATATTGGAACAATAACATTACTGTGCCTTTAAAAAACAAATCATAACTTCCTCATAATTTTCACTATAGAACATACCAAGTATGTATAATTTGATTTCATGACTTTGTTTAGGATATATTTTAAGGACTGAACATGTATATGGCAAATTCTTATAACAGTGGCAGTGTGGTGTCACAGGTAGGACGGGGGACCGAGTACGTACCCTATTGAAATAACACAGGAAACTGGTACCCTATTGAGGTACAAATATGTATGTAAAAGGTACATGGGTACCTGTTAAAAGAAACCCAACCCCAAAATTCAAATCCTGGTAATTATCTAAAGAGCTTTAAAGCTATAGTCCATCATTTGTAATTAGTACATTTTGTTCGTTTGAAGCAACAAAAGTGTTCAAAATCTAATGAAGGATACTGAACAACTTACTTGATGAAGTTTCAGCTCAGCTACAGCTTTATATTCCGAGAAAAACAGCATTCTAGGATCTCAATTTAAAATCAAAAGTTGCTAAATCATGTTTCAAATTGTTTTGAATTGCAGCTTTATGCGCTGTCGCGCACTGATCCGACGAATTATAGCAACCGTGCGCGCCTGTGCGTCGTTCCAATGCTTGTGCGCGCTGCGCCGAATAACAAAACGAACAACTAATTTAAATTTTCCTACGGTGCGTCTTAAGAAGCACCGTTGGAAATGCCTTCTTTCGTTGATTTCTTCAAAATGAGAGCTTGCCAGAAAGGATAATTTCACAGGGAGTTTAGTCCCCTTACTATCTTTCAACCAGTATGTTTTTCAACAATAGTTACGCCAGTTACTTTTTTGGATAGCTGCAAATGATGGACTCGGGCTTTAAAGGGAATATACATCATTTGCTTTTGCTGTAAATTTCAGAAATGGATGGAATTGGAGGGTTGGAAATATAAAGCAAATATAGTTACACTGACTTTTAGGAGGTTTGGGTTCGCAAATGCTATAAAAACCAAGAAAAACGATCATTTTCCTGTAGTCTGGTTCCCTGACTCCATATAAGAAGAAACAGACTAGTTTACATACATTGGGGAATTGTAAGGTCAGGGAACCAGTCTAGCTGGCTCGTACCCGTTCATAGGTTTGTAATCGATTGCAAACAAGTGCAATGGTCAATTGGGGCCAGTATTTGAAAAAAAAGCCAGTTGTTTCCAACGCTGATCGGCCGATCAGCGTTGGAAATTGATACAAAAATACCACTTTTCTTGAAAATGACAGTATACCAGGTGCCATAATTTTACAGGATGCTTTAGACTGTCATTTACCAACATCCTATTAAGGTATTTCGCAAAAACTTGGTAGTTTTATTTTTCGATGTTTGCAAATGTTGTATATTCCCTTTAAATACATGTAGCTTTACAGAATACATGTAAACTGCAACTTTTGCAAGCGTCACCTGACACGAGTTAAAATGCACATTAAACATTAAATCTGTTTTTGGTTTTTCATGTGGCCTGGTTTTCATTTTGGAAATTCCCCACAAAATAGCATTCAAAATCTTTCTTTTTCGTTGTCTGTGAAGTTCCTAAATAATTTGTAAAGTTGGTTATGGGTACCCGATTCCATAATCTGGAACTGGTTCCTGACATCAGAGGTCTGGTACCCGGGTCTACGGTTCCGATGCACACCCAAAGTATGAGCCCAGCATTATGAAACAGACCTTACTAAAACCAGCTTTCATTGCTTACGCGGCAGTGGTGCACTGTAATTTTAACTCTTTCAGTGCCCGCGAAATTTGAAAAGTTTAACCCTAAAGTGCCCAACTTCGAGCGTTTTTGTTAATTGTTCAAAATTCTGTAAAAAAAAAAAAAAAAGTAAATAAGTTTTACTCACTAAATTTGTTGTTGCTGCTCTCTGGTATATCCTTGGTATATTGGAAAGTCAATAGTAGTCGCATACATAGTGATACACCCTGAAACACTGTCCTGCACACAGGGGAATTCCGCACTTTTTGCAGAAAATACGAGTGTCAGCGCTGCCCCCAGTGAAACAAATAAAAACAGGTCGTATAACTGAATGAAAATGATATTATTAGAAAGAGCGAGAGCGACCTCGTACATGTACGAGGTTTGGCGATTTTAGGTACGAACATTATTTTGTACATGTACGAGGTTGGCGATTTTGAAATAATATACCTCGTACATGTACGACTTTGGCACTGAAAGAGTTAATATGTGTACATTCTATTTGTTCTCAGAAGGTACAGTGCAATGTAATGATTGCTCATCATATTGTTAACCCAGCCTTTTATGCAAGCCCCCCCCCCCCCAATCAAAAAAATAAATATATAAAACGGTCCCAAATGCGTCATTTCACAATTGATCCATTGGATCTAATTTTAGCCATGCGGTATGGGTGACCTCTCTGGTGTTGAGAGGGTTTTTCCTGCCTAGGTTTGTTCGAAGGACACCCACCGGCATTTATTCATGTGGACAGGATTCTTGCAATTACTCAGCCTAGATTTGAAAATGTCCTACCCACAAACTTGCACTTTCAATTGCAATCATACATTGGATAGTTGAGGGTGTTTGTAACTGCTCTTAGTGTCACTCATCGATGTTTTTGTTTACATGTACATGTAGGTTTCAGGTTTTGTTATTAGGTTGTTTTTTTTTCAGTAATTTATGCATCAGTTCATTCGTACTGAATCTGTCCATTCGCATGTAGGAAGTTGATGTATCCACACGTTGTAAATCAAAAACACGATTGAAACATATTGCACATAAAGGTGAGTGAATAAAAACTACATTCAGACTTGCCTAATACATGTACATGTACGTTGCTTGTTATGTTTTGGCTATTGCAGTATATTAGTCCACATTCTTGTATAAATGTTAGTTGTAAATTGTTTTGTTTCCTTTTTTTCTTGCAAACATGCATGTGCATTGAGACCTACTATTACATTTTGTTCATTGGTGACTCGGCAACGGACCTGAATGGTTCGATTAACATTCTTTTATTCCTATCTCAATGCATATATGCATGTAAATAAGGGACCATTGAATATAAGCTGTGCTTTCTAAATGCATCCCTCTGCAGTATCACAATTACCTAGTATCTAGATTTCTTAACGCATAGGGCCTATTTCTTTGCATCAATTTTGTAAAATTTGCTTAGTAAAATGGTATAATTGTATTTGATTTTCTTTAAATGATCTTGTAATTTTTCGTTGCTTTTTTGATACTGTGGAAAATAAACAAACCTGAACCTGAAGTCCACTGAGCCATCTCATAATTTAAGATTGATGTTCCTGAAGCATAACATTACTCATTCTCATCCAGAGTCCTCCATGTCAGGGACCTGAAATCTCAAAAACGAAGCCAATCTTCTCTAAATATCAATATGTTAAACTTTTTAAACCACTTCGCGTCAGGTTTATTTTTGCCGAAATTTTCAAAAGGCAAATACCGATTTGCAAGAGTGATTTCAGCAGTATTAGTACGATATTTCTTGCCGAATTAAGTCTCATGTTTCAATACTCCGGGGTGTGCACTGGAGCGTAAATTGTACAACAATAGGCTGTGATCAACAGCCCACACAACGGTCAGCACACGGTCTGCCTCCACAGACTACATGGACTTTGTGTGTGTGTGTACAAAAGGCACGAGGGATTAGCATGTTTAGATGTCACCCAGAGGCGAGTCGAGGCAATCTTGATGTCTTAACCCGTCAGCTGTGCCTGTGTACAAAAACAGCCAGTGCGTGTTATCGCCGCCTCCAGCGCGAAGTGGTTAAGTATCTATTGAGTATGCAAAAAAAAATGTTCCCCCTTCACTAAGTTATTCTTTCTTTTGTTTCGGTTGGTATGTTCAGGAGAGTTATCCCCATCGCAGGATGACCGACCGGACTTTCAACCTGTCCCGGGACGATATCACTCACAAGGGCTGGCTGAAGAAACAGGGCGGACCCTTCAAGACATGGCAGCGCCGGTACTTCATCCTCCAGGGCGAGTACTTGCATTACTTCCTGAGGGAGGACGAGCCTCGGCCCCTGGGTACCATACCGCTGCGCAACAACCGGGTGGAGAAGCGGCCAGTGAATCCTGACGATCCGGGAAAGTTTCTTTTTGAGATTCTTCCAGGTGAGGTTTTTCCCCCCGACAAAGATATTCCCGTCCTGTCCTGTATATTCATGTGTAAAAGAACAGACCTGATTGGATAAGTGACTCCTCATAAAACCATACCGGTATGTGAATGATAATTAGTTGTAAAAATTACCTGTGGCCTGGTTAAATGTGTTAGATTATGAAACGTTTGTTGAAACATGATGAAATATGAAGCATTCAGTTAAACATGTCTGGAAAACGTTTTTGTCAAATTTGTAAAAGTACTTAATTCGGTAATAATGACTTCACAAGAGGTGTACTCCTGCGTAGATCCCTGAGGGGCAGAAGCTTTTACCTCAATGATGGCTGCAATGCAAAAGATCTATTTTTCTTTTTGTATATCTTCTCCTTGTCTTGCAAAATTCCCATGTATCTTCATCAGCCCCACTGCCAACTGACATCGTTACTCAAGCTTCACACAGAGTGCACTGGGGCTCCTGGCCAAGATATGTCCCCAGAAATCTGTGGATATTTAAGTTTGACAAATCTGTCTGGCTGCACTGTCAATTGAATTTCCTTTTATACAGTGAATGTCTGTAGAGTCCAATGACATGCAGAACTTCCTCAAGACTATAAAGGGAGATCAAGGATTAAAGTCAGAAACCGTTTTTCATTATTTGTTCTAAAAAAAAAATAAAAAAAATAAAAAAATTATTTGTTAAAATAATTATTTGTTTTAATAAACTTTAAAAAAAAAACACACATAAGGAATAGGTCTAGATTTCAGTATAATGGTTGACTCCAACTCAAGTCCTGGTCACATGTGCTGTATAGATTATAGACCATTATCATGTTGCGGCCATCTTGATTTTTCCCATTCAGATCAACGTAACCAAAGCGAGGCTGGGAGGAAAAATAGTCTGGTTCCTTTTTGCACAAAACAATTATCATTCAGTACATTTATTGGATACAGGGAATATGACTGAAATGGTGGCAGCATGATCAAGGTCTAATGTGCTTGAACTGTGCAATGAGGGAAAAAATGTGCTTGTTTTATGGCCTGTTTATTACAAGTACGTTTAAAACCAGCTAGGGGCCTGGACGCTTATAATGGCCTGAGCCGAAAAAATATTTCGGTCAAAAAGTCCAAACAAGTCACAAATTCACAATGTTCCAACGATTTTGTTGAACAATTTTACCTCATGTTTTGTTAAACACCCCTCTGGCCATGTCTGTGGTATGTGCGCTAGTTGGAGCCTTAAACATCTGCCAATTCACTTCTGCTGGAGTGCATTGGCATGTCAAATGATATGCCCTAAACTACACCAAAAGAGCAATGGTTAAAGGGAAAATACAACATTTGCAAACATCGAAAAATAAAACTACCAAGTTTTTACGAAATACCTTACTAGGATGTTGGTAAATGACAGTCTAAAGCATCCTGTAAAATTATGGCACCTGGTGTGAAGTCATTTTCAAGAAAATTGTATTTTTGTAATACATTTCCAACGGTGGTCGGCTGACCACCGTTGGAAAACTATTTTTCAACTACTGCTCCAACTTTACACTTTTTTCAGTCCAAATTTTGTTTGCTATTGGTTACATGTTCATGAACGGTTGCAGGCCAGCTAGACTGGTTCCCTTACCTTACAATTTTCCGGCATTTATAAATTGATCCATTTTGTCTTTAGTGGAGTCAAGGAACCAGACTACTTGAACATTTTTGTTTTTCTTGGTTTTTCCAGCATTTTCGATCACAAAACTTCAAACGTGTCAGTGGAACAATATTTGATCTATTATACTAACCCCTCAAATAGTTCATTTCTGAAAACTACAGCAAAAGCCAATGATGTACATTCCCTTTAAATGATCTCAATCTTCTTCATTTTGTTATCTCCAGGAGTGGACGGTCCAGCCAAGCTGACCAGCAGCCACGAGACCTTCCTGCTGTGGGGCTGCAGTGTACAAGACGTGGACGAGTGGGTCCAGTCAGTCCGCCGAGCCATCTACAAGCAGAAGGGCGGAGGTAAGGATGTGACTGTCTGCTTAAATGGCCTCTGGAAAGATGCCAACCGATTTGAAAAGGAAACCGAAAAAAAAGGAAAAGGATTTCAGGATTCCAGTCGAGGAATTCTTGTAGGATTATGAAGTGAAGAAAATGAACACATGTGAAACAGCATTTTACTTTTGGTTTCTGTTTTATTGTCTGTTTATATTGGATTTTGTGTTTTGCCAATGTCTTATATAAACACTGTATACTCGGTGTTTTCTTAGTGCTTGCGAGATAAAACTCACAAGTTACTAGGGGTGGGGGGGGGGTCTCAAACCCATGACCTCACAGCTTAAAAGAGATAATATTCACATGGTGCTACCACAGAACTTCCATACTTGTTGGTAAGCTGTTTTAGCTTTATAGGAGACACTTGCCCAACTGAATAATCTACTTGATTTTAACCCTTAATGTCCCCATCCAGTCAAACTCCCAGACGAGGGTTTGTTGGAAGCTGTTGGAGTGAGTACTGCACTAGTAAACTGATCATACTTTACACGGTGTCAGGCATACCACCATAATCAATGTCCTACAGTTTGGGGTGTTGAGTTACTATGAGGTGTTGGACCTTGCAAGAGTGAGGAAGGTTCCTAGTAAATCACTCAAGGGGGGTTTTTAGGGTTAGTGACCAGTGGTAAGTACATGTACATGTATGTCCAATTTTGGTGTGTTTTTTTTTCAGGGATATTTGGCCAGAGTCTCTTGGACACCATCACCAATGAGAGCACGACGAGTACCAAGCAGATCCCGTCCATCGTGGAGCAGTGTGTCGAGCAGCTCAGGGAACGAGGGCTGCAAGAAGAGGGCATCTTCAGGTGAGCTGTTGAGGATACTCGGCAAAAAGAAGCCGAGTTTTGCAAAGCAGAGACACGTACAAAGCAAAAACAGGCTATAGGCCTACCACCCGAGGCAAGGATATTGTGAAGCTGCTAAGCGACTTTGGTTAAAATATTACAGCTGAGATTCACTGAAAAAGGCGTGAAGATCACTTGACATTTTGGCTGGCAACCTGTTTCAGCTGGTGCCCTGTTTAAGCTGGTAATCCGTTTTGGCTGGTAACCTGTCAGCTGAGATTCCCTGAAAAAGTTGTGAAGATTACCTGACATTTTGGCTGGTAACTGTTTCAGCTGGTAACCTGTTTCAGCTAGTAGCCTGTTTTAGTTGGTAATCTGTTTCGGCTGGAAACCTGTGACTCACTGACAAAGCCACGAATATTAGTTGATATTTTGGTTTTTAATCTCTTTTAACTGGTAACCTCTTTCAGCTGGTAACCTCTTTTAGCTGGTAACCACTTTTAGCTGGTAACCGCTGTGAGTTGGAAACCTCTTTTAGCTAGTAACCGTTGTTAGCTGGAAACCTCTTTTAGCTGGTAACCACTGTTAGCTGGGTAACAACTGTCAAAAGTTATTCAAACAGATTGTGACAGAGGCATTCCTTTGTTATTGTTCATCACCTATTACTTGTGATATACCTTGGATGGACTGAACTAAATTCAGTGTTGTTCTAATCTTTGTCCTTTTTGCCTTGTATTGTATGGCAGGCTACCAGGCCGGGTCAGCCTGATCAAGGAGCTTCAGGAGAGGTTTGACTGTGGGGAGAAGCCAGACTTCAGAGCCATGAATACCGACATCCACACCATCGCCTCTTTGTTCAAGCTGTATCTGCGCTTGCTCCCCGAGCCCCTCATCCCCTGGCAGCACTACCAGAGCTTTTATGACGGCATTAAACTCCACCAGGAGCGCGAGGAAGAAGGCAAGAAGGAGCTGATCCAACAGCTAGCCCTCCTCCCCCGAACCAACTACAACCTCCTCAAGTACCTCTGCGAGTTCCTGCACGATGTGCAGAGCTACGAGAGCTACAACCGCATGGGCATGCTCAACCTGGCCACTGTCTTCGGCCCAAACATCTTCCGGCCTCGCCTTGAGAACGCTACCTCTCTGATGGAGACAACTACTATGAGCCAGAAGTTCCTTCACTTGTTGATCCGAGAGCACGATGAAATGTTTCCGCCAAACGATCAGATCTTCCAAACGATGATCAAAACCAAAGGGAAAGACAAACCGCTTCCAACCCCACCTCCAAGGAAAATGGGACGCAATGCAACGTCTTCACCGGAGAGTGTTGACTTGCTGAAAGAACTCCAGGATAAAGTGCAGACTCCTCCTGTCCGACCACCTCGGGAAAAGAAGGACGGAGTCAATCACGAGAGTCTACTGCTTGACTTGGAATCTGACTGGATTAAGGTCTCAGCGAGTCTTGCTTTTACCAAGCGCAGCTACAGCGTAGACGGCGCATTCGGTTTCCAGGACGATACCTCGCAGTCGGATTCCAGCACGCTCGAGTCAAGCAGTGAACACTTGAGTGGCCATTCTGAGGTTAACTCTCAAAACACTTCTCGTGTAGACCTGGATGCGACCATTACGCCAGCATCACCGACCTTGTCTCCGATGAGCAACCTGGACACACTGACAAGCTTTGATCAGCCTTTACCACCCCCTCTCTTACCGAGCTCGAATCAGCCACATACCTCCCCCAAGAGGAATCAGCCACATACCTCCCCCAAGAGGAAATCCGCCTCTCTGGGAGTTGACCTAACGGCAGGGACCCCAGAGAGTGCGCCTCTACACTCTTCTGACTACGTCTCGTCGTCTCCTGTGAAACTTGTGGAGGAGATCGCAGCTCTTAAGACGGAGATGGTGAAATGGAAGATCAAATGTGAGGGACTGGAGATCCAGCTCCAGAATGAGGTGACCAGAATTTGTTTAATACCCTTACCAAATCTGAAACCTAGGTGATCTACCGTAGAGTCTTGGTTTTGGGCTGCCTCTTCCATTCCCCAGCTCCTGTTTCCTTGGACTTTCTTTGAATTCCACTTCTTATGTAGTCTTTCCTTTCATTTTAAAGAAGAACAAACACGAGCAAATGATGTTCTTTATAAATAAAAGCGTAAAATGATGTGATTGTGGAGAGTTTCTTGACTAATGCGCAACCTGTGGCAGTTGATCTAAAAAGAATGTAGGGACATCGTCCCGAACGCTGTAATATACAAATATAACATAGTCAAAGGATGGATAGACGATATTACCTCCCGAGATGAAGCTGAGGAGTACTTGATGCCCTGTGTGTGCTGCCATTTTGTTTGTATATAGCTAGGGCAGTGTTCACGCATGTGCAATAACCCTGTGCGATAGTTCCATGATTGCTTGGTAAATCGCATGCGTAGAAGACTTTCACCTGGGTAAGCCTTGCAATAGTCATCCCCGCATATGTATTTACACTGTTCCCAAATTCTCATGTTGGCGCTTGGTAAATAGCAGAACTAGTGGCTGACATGTTATGGTGAATGGACCAGTGAGAATTCGGCTTTCATTGTGAATATTATGAGGTTATGAAGTAGTCTCCAAATGAACAACCATGAAGCCTTAGCCAGGGGTATTAGTTGATAGATGTCCTGTGACATATTCTTTTAATTTGTATGATTTTTCGCCCCTCTAGGAGACCGCCAAGAAAGCAACGGAGGACAGGAACAAGCAGCTCTTGAAGCAACTGAATGCCTTCATCGCAGAGTACGGCCCCAAGTGACCTGGCTAATCACACTGCCGTCGTCGGTGCGCCTGGTCTCCCCCGAGGTCACCCGTCTCCAACAGGGACAACGTTGCTTACCAACCTGGCGGGTACCAGTTGCTGATGGAACACAAAGCCTGACCGAGTAAAGTGAAAGGAATGCAACATGGCCCCTGCACAGCGACCATCTCATGGCGTGTCATGTTGCGTCCACCTTGGGTTTTTATCAATTACAAACCGACATCGTTTTCTTTTTATCAAGCATTATTTCTCCGAAACCATCCCCAGCATTTTGCTCAAACTGCATGTGTGTGTCTTGCCCACTTAAATGTAAAATAATCTCTGTTGTAATATACTATGTACATCTTTGATTGTTGACGTGTCTTCAGTATTTTAGAACCACTTATGGAATGACGTCAACAAGCTTGATAGAACTCTCACAGCATAGTGTGCGTTGACTACATGTACATGGGATTTTCCTATCACATGCTGGCCGATTTATTTAGGAAGCTGATGGTAAGATTGTACACCCTTTCAGCATATGTAATCAGCATGTAATTTTTTTTTATGCCACTCCATTTAATGGATTGCTCCTGCAGAAAAATTATGCAAGAATTGTTTTTTTAATAAACCACAAAAGAAAAATCTTACTACACTTCACTCTATTTGATCTTCCAATTTTTTTTCTTCTCTTCATTATGTGCTATGCACAAATATTAGATATATATATAGGTTGACACTGTTAGAATTAGGATTGAAATAAAATTTGAAATGAAAATTTTGAAGGAATCTCCCACTCTGAAATAGTCTGGTAATATGCAAATCACGTGTTGTAAATAATATATTGGTGCTGGGGTTTCTCTTATATGCTACTGTGCAAAAGTGTGCCTTGAATCATATATGTGACATATGATCATGTATGTGCGATATTTTTTTTTTCTGGAAGTGTCACGAATTTGAACAAGTCAATTTACAAGATGTATACTTATGTTATGTATACTTGTGCCTTTAGCAATCTAGAGGTACATAATATTTTGTTTGTAGAGTCCAAACGTCTATTTTTATAACTCTATAAAAAAAGGTGTACAAGTATAACTACAATGTAGGTTTGTGTAAAATAGTTAAACATCTAAACATTCTTTACCATTTTGCCCTTTTTTGTAGCAACTCAAATCATGAACTTGCAGAAGTAAAATGTATTTTATTGATTTTTTTTCTACTTTTATGAAGAGAATATGAAAGGCTTGATCCAAGTGTGATTTTTTTTTTTTTTTCAAAAGTGTATGTTTTAATTTTCTTATCAATTTGCATATTTGGTTTGTGATATACCCGTATTGCGTCCATGTGGTGAAATGTATAACGAGCATTTGTATCTAATTTAATCAAAGAGAAAAAGTATTATGGTGCATAACGTATTGTGCCCGGGACCTTATGAGTTTCTTTGTTCTTTGGTTTGTATATATTTTGCTTTTAGGTTCTCCATAGAAGTTTATTTTACTCATTTTTGAACAAGGATGTTAGGTTTTTAATGGCCCTAAGCATGTTTTGTATGAACATTGGCAGGACTTCTCTCACAAAACTTTGCAACATCAAAAAAAAAGAAAATAATTCAGTTACATGTTAAGCTCTACCGACAAAATCAACAGTGAAGTTTACATTGGAAGTTTTCAATACATGTAAATAAAAGTCTCAATTTTGAATATTGTAATTAATGGGTGTATAGTGGAATTGCTTTAATTTCTTTTCTTGTCATTATATCACAGGCTTTAGATGTGTACACATTATATAATGTAAAAATCGTCCATAAATGTATACTTATGGATGATGGAACTTTTCATTTGTCAGTAAAGAATAACACTTATAAGTCGAGACAATCTTATTGTGTGAAATATATTTGACAGGTTTAACCTTAAAGGGGTCATGCTATGCATTTTTTTAAAGATCATATTCTGTGCAACTTTCTCCTCTTCAATGTATGAAAACTATATAAAATCCTTTTTTTTTTGCTAAATTTTATTGAAAAGTGCACTTTAAACATTCAAAACTGTCCATGCTTTTCTGGACAACTGAACAGCTTTTGGTATTTAAATCCCTCGGATTTTTGTGAAAATGTCATTCACCATCATGGGTGGTGGGTTGTGAGTAGGGTGGATTGGAGTCTTGGACTACAGGGTGAGCCCAAAAAAAAAAGCGGAACCCAAACCCAAAAATTATATTTCATATTTAAAAAAGATTTGTAGCACCAAAAATAATGACTGGAAAGCCACTTTCATAAGCTACCATTAGATGAAAAATTACTGAAATTGCTTAATCTGTTCATTTTAACACAATGACCCTAAAACCTCTTTCGTCCAAACATAATAAAGATATTGTGTACTACAGATGTTGACAGTTGTTGAAACAAGTATTGTGTGTCATTTTCTTTGTTGTTAAGAATACACAATAATGGTGTTTTTTTGGGAAGAAACGGGTTTTAGGGTCCTTGCGTTAAGTGGTGATATTCTTTGAACGGATTGAGCAATTTCAGTAATTTTTTTTTCATTATATAAGTAACTTATTAAATTGGCTTTCCAGTCATTGTTATTTTTGGTCCTACATATTTTTTTTTAAATATGAAATATAATTTTTGGGGTTTGGGTTCTGCTTTTTTTGACTCGCCCTGTAGAACCCCATTTTATATGGGTGACTTCTAACTTATTTACTAAAAAAAAACAACTTGATTTCTTTTATATTTGCAGTTTTTGGTTTAACAGTTGATTTTTTGAAAACATGTCATGTTTTTCAGCTGTACAAAATTACAGTATTCTTTATATTACATTATGTGATGAATGTTTGTGTGATTTCTAATGCAAGTCATCCGAATGTAGCTTCTATATACGTCTTGCTTGTTTCATACAACATCATGGTGCTTTGGGAATTAATAAAGAATTCTTTCCAGGAACGTTTTATGAGTGTTCTCAGTTTTGTGAACAGTTGAAACCCGGTAGCGCCCTCTAGTGATTGGTTTCTCTTTTTTTCGGGGGGGGGGGGGGGGAGTCATCAATCTTTGCCTAGTAGTAGTAAATCGACTTACGAATTACTTCGAAAAACAACATAATTTTTTACTTAAAAATCGAAGTGAAACAACAGGCCCAACTTCTGAATGCAAATTCTCGGGCAAGCAATTTGCTTGTTTTTGTGATTTTTGCGGAGCTGGTTTTCAGAGCATTTATTTTCGCTTTTGGAAATTTTGGGTATAATTTTCGGGAATAATTTGACAATTTGGCAAAATCTGTACCAATTTTGTAACCCCTGCTTGTAAAACGCTAGCCCCTGGCCCAAGAACAATCTTAGTTCTAAGGGTAGTAAATAAGGACACTAATATTCATGTCCGCCTCCTTGGTCGTCAGGCTCGAGTATTTCATTGTATAATTGAAAAAAAAATAAAATGCTTAAATCAAGTACACGTTTTTAAATTGTTATGTCCATGGAAAGTTGTAAATTATACGAAATATGGAGCGGGATGAAATTCTTTTATCATCATGCCGTATTAACATCGACCACACCCTTTTCACAAGTTTTGTTCAACCATCGATGTGCGGGTGAACAATAGCGCCCTCTTTTGGGCATCATTTCTTTAGCAGTAGAGTAGCATTCAGTCACTCTAGTAGTACATTTTGAAAACAACTATTCTCCAAACGATTTCGTACAACGATGGCCCATTCAAATAAATGGACGAACTATTTTATTTACGTTACACGCTCTGATGAAGTTACTGTAAAAAAAAAATTTTGGATTTCTTGAAATTTATACAAATTCGCTTTTTTCACTGAAGGAATGACTGAAAAAGTTTATTAATTTGGTGCGCACAAATCGCTGACGTCACTACGCCGGACGATTTCCATTCATTAGCATTTGCTGGGATTTTTCAATACGGGCGATCACTACAAATGTCACGCGATCACAGTCGGGAAATTACCGCGATTGGAGAAGATGTTCTAAATTTTCAAATTCATGGATAATATCTAAATGTTGACACCACCACAAGCCGAAAATTCCGTTTAGATTTGGAGATAGATTTGATCCCAATCGCGAGCAGAACGCACAGTTGCCAAACCTCGTCCGTTCGTCATCGGTGCAGTTCTGGTCCATCGTCTTTTTTTAGCCGGTGACGTCAGGATTAGCATTTTTTGGGGTATTTTGTTCAGATAGAAAAATCAGAAGTATGTCTCAGTTCAGGTAGCCGTTATCACACTTTTGAGACATAGACAAAAGGTGAGTTGATCGTTTGTTTATTCTGAAAATATTTTAATTCTGTGGCGGATCAAAATTGTGTTTTCATTCATGTTCATTGCTCAATAATGATGTACAAAACCCATAGCATGGTGAGTTGACATTGAAAAACATGACAAAGGCAAGGCTGGCATGCATGATGATCAATCACCCACATCATTTGATTTTTAGAATTTTATGGTTCAGTTTACAATAATTTTAAAATCATTAACGATTCATATGAACACGATGAAAGAGAACGACACAAGAATATTGCTGTAAAGTGTAATTGTAATGTTAATTATAAATGTTTAACAATAACACATAGGCCTACATGTACTTTCAGATTGTCATCAGATGTCAGATGGTGTATGTACAGTGTACGTAAATATTGCATGATTAACAATGCAATAATTAGGGCCTATGTCTAATCATGGAGCTATCTGTTTTTGAAGGGGGAGAGGTGTGGTTTCAACACTGTTTAAGTTTAAGACTGATTGTTGCTAAGGACAAGGTTTAAGATTTATTTAACTAAATCAACTTCGATAATTAAATTATTGACTTCATTTCAAGTCTACCTGTCCCGCCATGCCGAAACTATCGCTTTAAAGTACCAATCGCGTGCAACTTTTGTATTGAAATTTGACGTTATTTGCTAATTACAAACAAATGTAATATAATTATCGTTCTGTCCATTTTTTTAGAATGACCCTAAAAAGCTAGAGCCTTCTGGTAATATGTGAAAAATCAGTCGGAAGTCGAGTCCCATTTCGAGATGGACTGTTTCGGCTTAAAAATAAGCGATTTTCTTCCCCACTTTTTTTTTTACGTGATTGACAGATGTATGAAACTTATGATGACGATCAATAACATGTGAAAATCGTCCCCTATTAATATTCTGATCAGCATAAACCCGAAGAGCGATGTTGTTGATCACTGTTGCGTGACTGACGCAGGGATCGATGCATGCCGGTTCATGTACAGTCCCTAACCCAAGATGGTGGATTTTGCGGGTCCGACTAAACTGCGTCAACAACCGTCAACAACCGTCAACAAACATCAACGGTCGTCAACAAGCATCAACATATTTTGTATATACTTTTGAACATTAAAAGTAGCTTTAAATGGTAGAAAAAGCAATAAGGAACATCTACTGCATATCAATTAAATGTAAAATTATTCAAAAACTTGTTTTATGAACGCGAAATGTACGACGAGTTTGTCGATTAGTGTTGGCCGCCATCTTGTTTGGACGGCGCTGTTCACTGCACGCATGCGTAGTATGGCTCTGTACACTTCACGCATGCGTAGTACGGCTAGCTTCACGTAAACAAAACGGCGGCCACCCCAAACTCTACAAACTCGTCTTACATTTCGCGTTAAAAAAAACCAAGTTTTTAAATAATTTTAACTTTATTTTATATGCTGAATGTGTCCTTTGTCACTATTTCTACCATAAAAAACGTCTTGTGATGTTCCAAAACTTATACAATATTTGTTGATGCTTGTTGACGACCGTTGGCGCTTGTTGACGCAGTTTAGTAGGACTGGATTTTGCTACATGGTGGATTTTCAAAGATGGTGGATTTTCCAAAATGGCAGATGGATTTGTCAATTTTCTTGACAATTTTGCTGATAGAAAATTGTGTCCAATGGAGCCATTACACTTTCTAGTACATTTATCAGAGATGCCACTTTTCCGGTTTTAACCGGAATTCCGGTTTTTAAAAAAAATGTCACAAAATTCCGGTTTTTCCGGCCGTCAAATTAACCAGAAAAAGAGAAGAAAAACTGTGGAAATGCGTTGATTTTTACCTCGATTTAGTACATTTAGGCGCACGCATGGCACAACGTTGTTCGTTGAAGTAGTCTTAAAAACAGTCTTTGTGTATGTTGTTGCCGAGCCTGCATGCGATACATGTACAAGCGGCCAACGTACATGTACTTGCACGCAGTATACAAGGGCGCCTCGCGCGTGCTTCACCGCGTGCGGGCATGTTGTGTGCTAAGCAGAACTTGGCTTGGCTACAAGATAAAATGACAACGGGGACTTTGTGTCGGACACGGAGTGGCTTTTTCACACACAAAAAAGTTCGGTTTTTGAAGCAGCCGTTCCGTTTTTTTTCAAGCAGACCCAATTCCGTTTTTCAAGCAGACCCTGTGGCATCTCTGATTTATAAATACAATTTTGTTGGAAAAAAATTAAAAGACAATGTACCTGGTATTGACAAAAAGTGCAAAACATAATGCAAATGTATGAATCTGTTGCTTGCCATTAGGTTACAGTGCAGAGAGAGTTAACTTGAACTGTTGTGTTTTTGTGGGTCACATGGCACTGACGTAAACACAAGAAAAAGGTCAAACGGGCGGGTTAAGCCAGATTACAATGTGTTGGGCCGCCGCCCGTCCGGTTTGGCTTGATGTCGCTTCCTAGCTCAGTGGTCCCAGACTCCAGGTATAAATTAAATTGTCTCGGTTAGGGATTTGGGATTTATTGGAGCTGCTTCAAAAACCTAACTCCCCACTAATGCCCCAGCTCTGGTGAAAACGGGTCAGCTTGATTTGGGGAGGGGGAGGGGGAGGGGGAGGGGGGGGGGGTGATGAGCGTTGTGTAAGGGATTTACTTGTTGAAGGCTTTGCAAAATGACAGTTGTGTGAAAAACATGTACCGGTATAGTTACATGCACATGTATGCACATGTACTTGTAAAAGTTGGTTCAGTAATAGACCTCTGCCGCCTATGAGGATTCATGCATTTAACACACTCTGTACAAAGAAAAGCAATAAAAAAACAAATCAGAGTGAGTACTTCAAGACTTTGAGAAAGGTCCTTCTAAGGATCGAAACGTTAGGCCCTATAAGTTCTGTATTTGTACATAAAATATTTCAAGTCAAGGCAGTCAGTAAGGAGGATGCAACAGTTTTATCCGTTTTTATGTTAAGAATGTGTAAGCTTTCATACTAAATGTATGATGTACATGTAGTACTTCATCAGGTTCAATTTGAGCAGATTTACAAATAACATGTCAGGTGGTTCTAAAAATAAGAAGAGAGGACCTCAGGATTTGAAATATAAATTTCTATAAAGTTGCCGTGAAATTCTTCTCTTGACTTATGAGTCGAAGAACTACCTGTAGTTCCAACGAGACAATCGCCAAGTGTCAAATTCCATTTGCAAACCACTGCATTGCGAGAATGTCTTCCTCGAACATGCACAGATTTGCCCTTGTCATAAACCACATCCGTGAGCTCCCTCTCCCCCCACGTTTTCCCCCACCCCCCTTCCCCAGCTTACAATAATTTCCTCTCGGCTAATCTAATTAGGATGGAATAGCACTCGGAAGGCCTCAGCCAAAGCCGTTTGGGTGGAACTTGTTAAGCGAGGCCGTGGCCTCAAAACAGCTGTAGACCAAAGGGGTGTGTGCCCGCGCCCCTCGGAGGGGACACCGAGAGTCCCATACTCGGTCACATGTCCTGTCCCCCAATTTCACAGGGGGCCAAAACTTTGGTTTAAAAGGACCTGGGGTTTTAGGAGTATCGTGCATTTCAGAACGGGCCAGTGCACGAAAGTATTATCAAAAGTTACATTTGTAATTGTAACTCCTGACGTCTTCCGACTGTACTGACGTCTTCGGACTGTACTGTACTACCTTCCTCCAAGGTACTTCTTACCGGTAGTTCTTTAACATGTCTTGCGGTTAATGTACGTGACACAACATATCCAGCGCAAGTTTCTCTATCCTGGGGAAACTGGACAAATAGTTAAACCGCTGAAGAACCATTGACTAGTGGTGTGGACTGTCATCTGCTACAATTTGAGCTTCAAGATCCAAATTCTGGTTTTGGGATCGGCTGGCTTTTTGGACGATAAATCAAGCTGGATTCGTGAATATTGAATGTGAATAAGGTGCGTGGGTTCTTATATCTAAATTAACATGTTCATGACTTCATGTCGTCAAGAGATTGGTATGTAAAACCTGAGTTAGCATATTAGACAGAATTTTAAATGCTTATCAAAGCTGCAGATGGCCAACATTTTACGGTTTTAACCAATCCCGGGCACACTATCAATTAATGTTGTGTGTATATAATTTATAAACTGAATCTGAACCGAAACCGATCTGAATTCCCCAACGAAAATTAAGGGAAAAACCAATCCAAACCAACCTGAAACGAAACGACCGAAGAAAACCGAATATCTGGCTTGGGCAAATCGTCCTACATTTGTATATTTCATGAACACTGTGTCCGCTTTTTGTGCCTGAACTTAACCACGTGGCCTGATTTTGTTTTGAAAACTGTTGTCTCAGTAAAGAAACATACAGAAAAGGTATGGTGAACACTCCTAACGTGACATACTGGTGGGTCTAAACGTTATAGAATGTGCATGATAGACTGCAAAGCACACGCACAATCGCGCGGTGAGTTGACGGTCGTCGTATTGGGCACAGGGACTGCAAAAATATTGTCCCACATGAATTTCCAAACTGTTTCATTTTTGTTCGGTTTCTTTCAGATTTTCACAAGATGGCTTAACCGACCCAACCTGACCCGAAAATCGCAAATGCAAAACCGAAACCGACCCGATCCAAAGTTAACCGAAGTCGGTTTCAGGTCGGGTTGGTTTCAGTATCAGGTCAAATTTGCATCGTGCTTTCTATTGTTCAGACAATCTGTCATGGACGGAGGGGTGGGGGGGGGGGGGGGGGGGAGGGGTGTTTCTATGCAATAGCATACACACTGGTTTCTCCATTGAAGGGGGCCTCATGAGTGTACCATGATCACGTGCCTGGATCCGTCTATGCAGTCTCAATGTGATAGTGGCAGTCAAAATTCTTTGTGTTGGTGGTGCAATAACCACAACGCTGTTATGTACGGTCAATTAATGATGTTATGATTTTTTTTATATATTGCATGGAGGTTTATTGCTCGTTGCTAGGCTACATATGTACGCACATTGCTAATTACAGTAGATTCTAAGTACCTACATGTATGGTACATAC